AGACAAAAGGGGAAAGGGCTTCTTGATATAGGAACATTTTGGTGTTGTATTACACTACGAAGGTTACAAATTAAACACCAACTGAATTGTGACAGCATGTCCTATTCTCGAAAATCGATTTTTATGTTTGTGTCAATTTAATTGTACTGCTTTTGCCTAGAAGTAGCCCAAAGCTCACCCTTTCGAATCGAGAACAACTAACGATAAACAGCAATTACTCAGAATCGCATGTACATTACAGCCTTTTTGATCGAAACAGTTTGTCATAGAAAAGTAAAGGAAATCGTCAGTACTAATTTCGAGCTCTGATGTGGTGATGTCCAAGTTGAATAGTGCTAGCAGCAGACACAATTTCTATAAATTCAGCCACTTTTCGAATAATTCTTCTCAAGTATAATTCAAATTCTTAAAACAAAATGACCGTTTTACGACTATATGCTACAATCATTTTTGTCAGTGCTTTAAAAAAAATCTACGAATCTTATTGTAAAAGAAAGAGAAATCCCCCATAAACTTAACTCTGACAATAATTGTTTAACCTTAAAACCATCGAAATGAGGTTTTTGAGCCGGCAAAATTATTACATTGCTAATGCTAAAAGTATATCACACAGTCTTGTGATATTATTTTTCACACTGATGTCCTCAAGATTTGAACAACTTAAGAATAATTTCAAAATTAAAATGTATGTATCGGAACTTCGCTTAAAATGTCTTTTTATTTTGTAACAAAACCTCATTTGTTTCCTTTACATTTTAATCCTTAAAAGAAGAGAACATTGATATTGTTTCTAAGCACATAACAAATTAATAATAAGGACAAAATTAAAGCAAAACTGATGATGTTGTTTCTTGAAATGAATACAAAGTAATTTATTTATTTTGTACAACAATGTTATTGCATTTTAATTTTTTTTTATAGGTCCAGACATAGTCAATATGCTTTTGTGCTGTCCGCGAAAAAAAATCGATGGCGAATACAAAGACAATTGGCATTACGCTCAGAAAACATATGGCCGGTTTGCAACGATAATCCTCAGGTTTTTAAAAAAGTAAATGTCTAAACGAAATCAGTAAAGAGAAGAATATCTGTTAAGGGTTTGAACCCTCCTTGTATTAGGCTTATTTTTTTATGTTAAACTAAAGTGTCTGTAAAATATACTGCATGCATTCCAATACCTCTGGAAAGTTTCAAGAACATTTTAAATCAATCAGTCATCGTTAATGAAGTAGTTTGCATTGAACGCAGATTCCTAATCCCTTTCATTGTGTCTATAGAGAGAGCATGTTCATACAATATGGTCCCCATGTATGCCTGGCCAGTATATAGGCCAATGGTTCGATATTGTGTAGGGCACAACACGATATTTCAGCCGATTATGCAGCTCATAATGCGATTTGGTACAAAGCAAAGCACTATAGACTGGCGTTCTTTTGTATCAAAGCAGGTCGCAATCGAAAAGGGGATCAAGTCGGACCCCTTGAACCGAAAAAGTCGTCCAAAGCGACACCCTGTTCACACTGATGGTGGGAAGAAATATTATATGTAGAGAGTCATTTTGGACAATATTTTGTCGGTATCTTTGACTGGGGACCGCAACTCGTGCGAGGCGCGGGTGGCATGTGTAGTGCGGCATGGGCTACTACTGCACTGCATACGCTACATGGGGTATCGCCTGCTTCTGCCTGACTTGCTTAATCCCGCTATTCTAGGGTGCGGTATTGGAAAAACGCGGCAGGCATCTGTTTGCCGCTGGACATTTTAGCCAACATTGAAGCCTTTTACATTTCTCTGTCTGTAAATTAGGACTGTCTTTTGAGACGAGGTGGTCATAGACAAGAATGTCTGTTTTTGACAAAAATCATGCAAAAAACAGGTTTTTTTTCAACGAATAATACGTGTAGCCTTAATTTTTAAATTGCAAGATGATTTCTTTCAACGAATCTGATGCCTAAGACTACTTTACTAAGAATTTGGATCATAAGTATAAATGCGTATGACTTAATTTTTTTTTACACATTATAGACATGGTAGTTAATTAGTGAAATTAATCAGTCCGGAAATATGCATGACGGACAAAAGGGGGAAAACCCGGAAGCAATTGGGTGATAACGGAATTAAGGAATTATTTCTTAGTTCCGGAGGTTCACGTGCATTTTGATGGTCAGAATCTGTCCTGTCATTTTGTCGCATATTTACGGGTTTAAAACGAGACATCCACACAATGCTCTGATAGTACTATCTGAGCGAACGTCAAGACAGAAAATGATAACTGAAGCACAATTAGTCATTGTCATAAAATTTGTCTTCAAAAAGAAAGATTTGTAGCTGTTATAATTATGAGTAGGGGGCCTATATGTTTTTTTCTGCAAAAACATGTTTCAACTATCAGGTAAAATTGTTTTGAAATTCTTTCTCTATACTTAGGATAATTTGGAGTAATGCCTAGGCCTAACCAAGCAATAGCTGATAGAAAACTTAAGCGTAATAATTATGTTTACAAAATAAGAAATAAACAGTAAAAAGTAAATAGAGTGTAATAATCCTTACTCATGGCTGATGCGACATTTGTCAAAAAATTGTCAAAAATGGCATCGGTGTTGTCCTGCAATTCACATGGATACCAATGTCAAGCAAAACAACAGCAGGAATAATATCAAACCACAATATCAGATTAAAAGTTGATAATTTGGCAAATTCTTTCCTATATCCCTCCCCCGATGAGATTGTTTTCATTCTTTGTTCCCATACTCCCCTTTCCATATACTTGTATTTTTAGTTTCTTTTCAAACTTGGCCTTTGTTTTAATATCTTATTAGTTATAAGTAAAAATATGTCATGAGGTGTAAGTGTCCTATGATATAGTAATTACTATGTTTGAATTGCTTTCTTTATCACCGGGGATTAATTTACTCCAGAAATTATTGTTCTGTCCCAAATCAAAATGCGTTTCTTAGGCCGGCAACACGTATGGTTACTCATTCAGTATTCTATACAGTAATCCTAATGCATTTTAATAAAGACTATTTAGTGTCATCTTCTCACTTTGAGAATTAGGAACCATTGATGGCAATTCGACGAAAAAGGTGCTAGTCGTCAAATCACACCATTATATGAAAGCGCCTGCCTACCAGGCTAAGTGCAAACCGTAGCCACGTGCTCGTCAGATAGGGAGAAATAAGAAATGGTATTTTTGTGGTCATTCCCAAGTGAAGGAGGAGTTACCGGATGACAACAAAGTGTGAAAACACCCTCCTTCTATCATCGTAAAATTTTAATACCTTTTGAAGTCAATGGTTTTCAGACGATTGGTTTTGTGTTCGCCCTCATTTCTTTGAAAGATTGCTAATAATTTAGGTCCGCTGCACTAAATTTTATATAACACTACACCCGCGGACACTCTATGTAAAAACGAATATGTGTCTTTTTAGCTGCGGGATAGCAGCTCAAAAAATCATCATAGCTCCGTTAGTCCGTTAGTTAGTTAGTTAGTTATTTAGTTAGTTAGTTAGTTAGTAACAAACGTTGACATTGTCTATAGCTCCTACATATTTTGACCGATTTCAACCAAACTTTGTCAAAAGTATCAGTAGCCCAGCCCCAACATGTATGATCGAACTGGGGTCAAAGGTTATCATGGGGTCACTCGGGTCAAAAACCTGATTTTTTTTTAAACTCAAAGCACTACTCCGTCCAGAAATGACATGGCACAATCACGTCACTCATGCATGAACACGAATGCGTTGGCCCGCAGCTTCCGAGATATTTCCGATCGAGCTTGTGTTTTTTTTTTGCATTACGCGAATAATATTCTCGTAAAGAAATCGCATGCATTTATTTTTCATTTCAGCAAATGTTCCGCAGTTGAATGGTCTAAAAGGGCCTTGTGAACATCTGAGATCAAGCATATATAATAAGAAATCAATCCTAGCCTGGTAATAATGATCATCCTATGTGGACTACCAATACGCTAACGATTGTTTTAAGCGATTTCTGCAGCCCCTTAAACGTCAACCCTTTTGACCATTAGGGCTTTAAACATAGAGTTTGCTTGTTGAATACAAGATGTGAATTTTATACAAATGTCACAATAGTCACCAAAGTTGTTGCTTTAAAACTAGCTGTCATATTATTGGAAATAACTGTAGCCCATTCGTTACCTGGAAAAACCCTGGAAATTGTCCTCAGCCGAACCACTTGCTATTATTTTACAATCTTTTCTAATTGTATTGTTGCGTTGTACATAACGGAACCGACTCATATTTATCAAACGCATGGTTAGCCACAACATAGAATAATTTACAAATTATATGAATGTAATATAAAAAGGAAAACATACAAAAACGGAAATTCAATATAAATGTTGCGTAAGGTGACAGTATATGCCATGTTCACCAGTCGGCAACCCCCTGCCAATCAAAGAAAATACTGTATTATGACGACCAACACGAAGACAGTAAAAGACACATGAACAACTTTGTTTCTATAATATTTTGTCAGACAAGGAAGATATAATTTTAACCTAGCTGCAACACCGTACATGAGCTCATTCGCTGAAATTCTTACCCAATATAGACGCAAGCAGCAGTATATCTGGACATAGAAGGACCGTTGTTGAATAAGTTGAAGATGAAAACAGTGATGTTTAACAAGTTACAATGTAGATATGCTCCATGATGCCGTGCGAATCATGACGATGGGTGCGTACCAAGTGACTAAATTTGACATACTGAATCCAATATTAAGGTTAGCATATTGAATATCTGATGCGTTTTAGCGTATTATCCAATGCCGGGGCCCGTTTGCTAGATCAGCAACCATCTCCTTAATTGGCAAAGGGGATCGCAATTTACTAAAGTGGCCTTCCATGCTAATGTCGTGCTGGGTGCGCCAAAAACTAATTTGGTCCAAACAAATAACCAATAGATAAATGATGAACGGACATGATGAAAAATTCAAAAGGTTGATGGAGCACGATTGAGTCGTGTGATTATGCCCACCTTGTTTGAGAAGACTGTACAGCATCTCCTGCGTGCTGAGGCTGGCCATTTGTCGATCTCGGCTAACTAGTTTTCCTTTCGGCAGATCTGTAGATGGTTGTGTATCCAGGGATGAGCTGGCGACTATTGTGGCAGAGTTTAGGCCGCTTCTTCCATCACACGGATGAGAGAAAACGCCTCGCACACACGGATAACGCTGATTTATCGGCCACCACAACGATTCAGATAACACGCGCATCTCTGGTCATTACTATGCATAAGCTGGCCTCCAATATGAACCGGAATCAAGCTATTGGTTCATCTTAGCTAGACTGTGTGTTGCGTCAAACCATGCTCTGAGGTGACTTGTCCCGACCATTCAGCTCAGTATCTCGGCAAGTAGTGCGGAATAAAACTCCGATTTGGTCTCCTTGCTTGTTATAGTGCTCAACACTTAGGTGATGTGAAAATTCTAGGGTTTCTAAGTAATGCAATAAACTGGCCTTTTCGGACTCGAAAATTTTGGGTAATGCACCTGATTCAATTAAAGAGGCGAGAGTCGGAAACGGCAGAGATGCCCGATCGATCTTAGACCCTTGTGCTCTCTTAGCATTTTGTTCACGGAACGTCGAAAGTCAACCAGGCGAAATATAACGGTCGGACCGCCAAGGAAACTACTGTAAATAGATTTTGTGTGCCAAGTCCAGAAAATATCTTTATTGTAATAGGGTAATATTATGTATGATGTGTTGCAAACTTACCACTAAATACACGTCAATTAGAATAATGATTTATATTTTATTGTTTCTTTTTTTTATAGAGTGGGTTACAGCTACTTCAAGTAAGTCTGTAGTCTGAACCATCACTAGAAATCTGGTCACCGATGAACTATAGTAAACCGTCGCCTCCCCTGCTCAACTTGAACGCATGCAGTGGCATCCTTAGTCCTGGCAGGATGGCGCCAAGGGAAATCAACCAAAGTACCCTTCCCTTGCCCGCTCATTCAGCTGGTAAGCTCATACAAACGGCAACAAAAACTTCATTATCTTGTAAAAGAATGCACTGGCATCGGCCTTTTACCTGTTTCATGGTATATGCTGCGGATACTATGAAAAAAGAGGCAAAAATGCTAATCACAATTTTCCATGAGGGCCTTTTGAGCTCATATCCATTGTCAGCGTCATCGTCCAGCGAAGATTCGCATTCTTGATTCCACGCTCAATTTGATTTCACCGCGTAGTTTTCCTTAAAATTTAAGCTTTGTGATGGAGACATATTTGTCATTTACATAACGGAAAGGTGGAATCTATTTCCTTGTTTAGTTACCGGGGAATTAAATGAAGAATGGGAATGTAGTCGAAACATTGAATTCGGATCAGTAAAATAATAACACTTATAAAGACATGGAACATTGGACAGATAAATGGACTTAATAGCAATGCAGGGAACGACCGTATAAGTGAAGATAAAATGGCTGTATATGTGTATATTTTATGCAGTTTGTTTTTATTCCATAAGTTCGTTTAAATCATAATTTTGGCAATGATCATCAGTCAAAAGTGCACACAGGACTAGCACAGCTTTAGCCCGAATGCTTCATGATAATTACGGCCGTGGTCGAACGCCAAATAGTGACAGCAAAGTTATGCGTATAGCGTCAGGTGGATTGCGAGACGCACGCAGTGCGCAGGCGTGCATGCAACAGCTTTGTGATGGCACCAAAACCCACAAGCTATTAAGTATAATGTCTGACAGTGACAGAAAACGAGTGGTCCATGGTTGATTTTACTCTCTACCCACAATGAGGCTGTGTTAAGGTTTCCGGATGTCGAGTGCTTCTGCAAATAACATCGATTGCAGGAGGAGGGTTTTGGTGAAGTTCCCGGACTCTATTATTTAGTCAATAGTCCCAAGTACTGAACTACATCGTGATCATTATGGATGGTGGGGTTAGTCTTTTGACATGGGTATCCTGTCCAATCCTCTGCAATCATTGTTTTGCCGTGGAAGCCAGTGTAGCTCGAGAGCCTTTTCCACCTGTCGATAACCACTATTGGGTCATTTTTGGTTTTACCAAAATGTATTAATGTAAGAAATAATCAACTTGAAAAAAAAGGGAATTCCGAATGAAAAAGTTCAAAACTTAACATAAATGTTGCAGATGATCATCATTATCAATATCATCAGGAACATGTATTTTGTGTCTCCCGTTTTGGTCATATATGTTTTTTTTTTCAATATTAGGCAGCTATTCGTGCTGTGACTTTTTATAACCAGTGCGGTAATGTGTACTTAAAAATGTGTTCTTAATTGTCTTTAAAATATAGTGTTTATTGTTGGTTTTACGTAAATTCAATAAGATGTGTATATTTTGATAAATGGGTCCTGATTTTAATTTTGGATTTTACAGGTTTTATGCTTTAAAAATCTTAAGACTTTATAGACATTAATTAATATTATACTGATTGCACGCAGGCGATCACAATTCATGTAATTTTTATTTGACGAATACATTTTTAATGCGGAATCTTTAACCAGCCGAGGGTCGAAAGTTACAAATGTGGATGATAATCTACAATTACAATGCCACACACATACATGCTTTAATGATTGTCCTTGCATTGGAATGAAACCCACATGTGATTTTTGCTTTTAGATTAATAAAAACATTTTACAGGATGATTTTGTATGATGCAGTGTGCTAGCAATGCCAACTTCTTGACTGACAACAAAGGCACAGTTGACGACATGCTATCTACGACATTTGCGGTGCGTATATACGTATTGTTGTGAGGGACTATGCCATCGGAGGCCGGGGGAAGGTTGCAAGGTTGGTCAGATGGGGAGGTCTGCCTGGCGTAGCGAGGCAGGAGCGCCGCGTACTGACTCAGACGCATTAAGTTGATTAGTTTCTCCCAAATCGGTCGTGCTCCTAGCCCGCTCTATGATTACACTACCCCGAAAATGTCATTATTGTGATTAGAAATGAAACCGGCTCCTCTTAATTTAAGCGAGAGTATAATATGGTATTAGGGTTTCCAACAGAGGAGCTCAGGTGGGGCTGGATCGGGTGTAATCTCTTAGCAGGACAGTCAAAAGGACCACACGGTACTCCCTTTTAATCAAGCTGGGCAGAGTGATTCTTGACTGGCTTCGTACACCGATCTGTCGATTTATGGGCACCGATCTTTGGCCCAAGGTTTACGGCACGTTTACGGTCAAGACCGGCCGACAGCTCACATAAAAACAAAACACCACTTCCAATGATTAGCGTCAAATGCCTCGTGCGTATATAGTTCTAGCACAAAGACAAATCTGCATATAGCAGTGAGATACATCGACAACATTGAGAAACCACAGGGTTGTGTGAAAAACTTAATAAAACCCCCCAAAACGAATAGCATCTGACGTCACATCTCAGGGCAGTTCAGTTCTTTGTTCATCTGTGATGCGCATGAGTACACATTTTGTGCTGTCATTATCACCGATGTTTTTAAATAGCGAAAACCGCCGTGAGGGCGCACCGTGCATGGGGTCTGCACTTCTCTCGCCAATGTACATTAATCTGTAAAATTCGTATAATAATTTCAAACTTAGCTAACTGAATATACTGGTATTTTGTCAATTATTTCAGTATCATAACTTACTTGGACATTCTGCTTATTATACAAATGAAAAAAAAAATCACTGAATTGTCTTAATTGATCAAATATCAACACACTACTGCCCGTTATCTTTATAGGTATATACTGTTCTAATGGGATCCAGAAATAATCCATCAGATCGCACTATTTACTGCACTTCTGAATGTTGAAGTATAAAATTCACTCAACTTAGGCAAGATACTCAAAGAGCAAATAACATTTTAAATCTACTGGAGATTAGCTGATAAAATCTAAATCAAAATATATTTTATCGGCTTAGATTTGCTGTCGCGCATTTGCATTTTAATTCCCATTTTTATTAACAAGTGCGTCGCCATTTTATCTGAAATAAGAACCAGAGTGGACGGGAAACGCCATTGCACGAAACGAATTCACCAAAAATATACGTCCTTTGGAATACATACATTGTATTCTCTGTACATGTCTGTGGCCATTGATAAACGAAGCAAGCATGAAGTACACTCATTGTTGTTCGGAGTCATAATGATGTTTATCGGGCGAATTAAGCACCAGCCATATTATAATTGCAATAATTGAGATGTCTGTGTAAATAGTAGGCAGTATTAATGAGATGACGTCTCCCATAAAGCGTCATCACGACGCGATCATCCATCAAGCCTGATGCTTGCTCAGTCCACCGCATTTGCTCCACGCCCCTCGCTATTGCCCTTTCATAAAGTACTTGTATGCGGTGCTACGGTGTACTGCGATTTGTGCGTAATGACATCATTAAGCTTCTGAGATATATCACTTAATCTCTAGACTTTTAGTTCATACTCTTTTATTTTAACCGGAGCTCTTTCCTACACTGTACTCCCCATGGACAGCAACACTCTTCTTCGTCACGGCCGTAGCATGCCATGTTTTTTTTTAGTTTTAAATATCACCTAAACGCATGACAGCGGCAGCAACATAAGGGGGACGGAGGCCGGGGGGGGGGGGGGGGGGGGGGGAGGGGGAGACACATAAGCTTCAAAGTTCGAAAGGGGGGGGGGGATAATGGATGCCATCTGACTATAGAGGGTGCCGTTCAAAGTTATGTCTGCACACATACATGTATGTGTATATACATTATGCGCATTTACGACCATTTTGTGCAATTTCCATGAAAATGGTGGTGCACAAGCAATATCTACAGTTATTTAGGAGCATACAATGCAAAAAGGCACATTGGGTTAACATCTATACGCATCAATTATGGGGGGGGGGCAACGCCATTGGCGTCCCCCCCAAAAAAATATTGGGCGGGAAATGTTCCCAACTCCGGAATCACCGCCCATACGCATAGACCTTCAAATGGTTTCGTTTCACAAATTACAAAAAAAGTTGACGAGGAAGACGCACATGCAGTTCATGTCATTGACAGTAAAAATGGTTGAAGCTTTGACATCATGATGGAGTCGAAGGCTCTTTGGTTCGACTACACCTAACTTTTCACTTTCTAGTGCAGATGAATTATTTGATTCAAACTGGCAATTTAGCTGCCACCGGCAAAACCAATGCTCGAGTGGTAACCAAAATAACAGGCCTTATATAGCAACCATGTGGTGTTTATAAAAATGCTCTGCTTCTTTGGTGATCAGTGTTGGGGCGTAAAACCCATCAAAGTAATTCTAATACCACCTCACGTTGGTTCTACCTCCAAACCTGGCTGAAATTTAGACGGCTTTAATCCATTTCTTCACTGTATGATGCATGAGAAAAGTCTGGTGATTGC